TACGGTCAGAGATCGATTCGGCCGATGGAAAATTGTGGACATTCTTGAAGATGTGTTTCGAAATGGTTTGTTAAAATATCTTCAAGCACAGTAAGTATAATTCTTTTGAAATTTATCATTATTTATCTTTAAATAAAGTATAAATTTATAATTTATGTTAATAGATGTAAGACAGTGTCCAAAATTTTATGCGGCGTATATGTTTGATCATTAAAACATTTCGCGTGTGTTTGATCAATTACATTAAACTTATTTTGTGCATTTAATCACAAACATGCCTCTGTTTAAAAAATTTACATAATCTAATTTAAAGTTTTTTAAATAAATTAATTTTGAACAATTAAAAGAATTAAATTATATATATTAATTTTCTTAATGATATGTGTTAAGCTACAGAAAATGCAAAATCTTTTAATTATCAAAGGTCTTATCATTATCAAGTACACTTACATATCTATATCATATACATTATTGATTTTCAGTCAATACAGTAGTGCTACACCAGACGATTTATAGAAAGCATTGCAAGATGCTCTCGACGAATCAGACGTACTGCACGATGATTTTAATATAAAAGAAGTGATGGACACGTGGTTCAAACAGGCAGCGTATTCTGTCGTGACGATCAATCGAAATTATGATACAGGTAAGATTAAAGTGACGCAAAAGAGAGTTAGTTAATTATTATCTCTTAATGACACTGCTGAAACAAACGGCGCATGGTGGATTCCATTGAATTATATTAGTCAAAGTAATCCAAATTCTTCGTCAACTCTGGCTACTCATTGGTTAAAACCTCAAGACGAGAGTTTAACGATCGAAGAAGTCAACATTAATGACTGGATTATTGTGAATAAGCAGTTGACAGGTAAGTATCGTTATGATATCAGATAAGATACAAATTAAAAAATGTTTTAAATTTAATTCAGAATTTGATAATAAATTTTTTTAAAAATTATTAAATTTATTAAATTTTTTATATTTATTTCTAAAAATTTTTTTTAATTTATTCGAAATTTGATAACAAATTCTGAAATATTGATCTTTATTATATGTACATGACATATTTTTAATTGCTTTTTTATTTTAAATACAGGCTATTATCGCGTAAATTATGATGTAATCAATTGGAAACGAATCATTGCTTTCCTTAATTCCGACGATTACGACAAAATCCCAATTTTGAATCATGCGCAAATTATTGACGACGTTTTTTACATGAGAACAACCGAACAGCTTGATTATATTATTTTTCTCGAAGTTATCAATTATTTGTCGCGCGAAATCGATCCCGTGGTATCCAGCATTCCGAATCATTCACAGATTAAATCATTATTTGCGGATGCTCCGTGTAGCTACGATCTTTAAAGTAAGATATGTTTTGCATAATTTATAAATATATATTAAAACTGATTAATTATCTAAATTAATAAAAAGAGGAAGAAAAAAGAAAAATATTAATATACATAAATTATAATAATTCTGTGATTGATTTTTGCAAATTAAATATTTAATAATTAATAGAATAATTATTAGAAAGAAAGCTATTCTGAATTAAGTTATTGCATTTTTAAATTGTTTGATCATTATAAAATGTTTTTAAGCCATATTTCTTCAACTTGACGCATAAGCTATTTGAACATATCGGTTTCGACGAGCATTCTGATGATGATTCTGCGACTATAAAAATTAGGGCAAATTTCATGCATACTGCTTGTTTATACAACATATATCCAGACAAATGTCGAGCAAAAACTATCGCTAAATTACTTGCATATTTGAAAAGTCCAAGGAACATGTGAGCTCTTATTATTTTATCTAAGAAATATGAATATGACAAATAAATTCAACAAATTTGGATTTATTTCAAACGTCACTAAATTATATTTAATAATGCCGATTCTCTGTATAAAATAAAAACAATTAACAATTAGATTTATATATAAAAACATTTTTGAATTATATTTTTGCTTTATTAAAATAAGATAGCATGTATGTTCGAAATGATACAAAGCATAAATACTGTTGTCTTACATATAACACGCTGCTCATAAATAAAGTTAATGCTATATAATTATTAACATAAAAGCATGTCGCGTAATAGTTTGCCCAACAAATTGTTTGCTAAAATGATCAGTGATTAATAGTAAATAATTTTCATTTTTGGCACATCACATTTTGTTATTATATATATATATATATATAATAACAAAATGTGATGTGCCAAAAATGAAAATAATTTTCATTTTTGGCACATCACATTTTGTTATTATATATATATATATATATATAATAACAAAATGTGATGTGCCAAAAATGAAAATTATTATATATATATATAATTTAAAAATCATATGGTATGATTTATTGTGTATTAATATTATTACAATAAGTCTTAAATATTTTAATTTCAATTTTGTATTATAGAATTTTACTATCTGACCAACAATTTATTTGCTTTGGCCTAATGCAAGCAAATGAATCTATTTGGAATCAATTTGTGCAGAAAGTAAATGAGACACTGAAACATCTCCAATTTCTTGGTTGTTCGAAGAATTTGGACATCGTCGAAAGGCTAATAACTAATAATATAAACTATTTTGAAGATTATAAAATTTATGATCATTTCTTTACAAATATGTTGCAAAATATGTCAAATATAGATGCAACAATTGAATTTTTTATTAAGAAATTCGACAAGATTGTTACAAAGTAAGTAACTCTTTTTCAAATAAAATTAATATTTTCTTAATGTACATTTTGTCTTTCTCTTTCTGAAAGATATGTACGTGTTGATGCATGATATAATTATACTTATATAAAAAGCAAAATATTTATTTGTATAAATAAGTTTTACTTATATTAATTTATGTAGATAATTATCTGCTCAGAGATTGATGTAATAAAAAACGTTTAATAATTATTTTTAAATAATATATATTTTATAACAGCCGAACTGATAAATTTGTCCTTTGTCTTATTATTATGCATAGTGGGAAGGATCAAATTAAAAAATAAAATAACGTTATTATACTTTGATATTATTAGACTATTAGTAAAATACATTGAAAATAAAATAATACGATTTCTATATTTTTATATTACTATTATCTTATTATTTATCATATAATATTATGTTGTTTAAAATATTTACAGTCTGTTTTTCAATGTGATAGGTATACCTTGAATTTTGAAATAACTTGTGTTGTAGATGAAAGCTTTTGCCAAACAACATGGACTTGACATAAGTATGTATTTAGTTGAGAGGACGAGAATCTTATCCATATTTAATAATTACTTGGCCAAAATTCATAATGCTCTCAAAAACAACCAACTCTCTGTTGCAATGCTCATTACACTAAATAATGCTACATCATTAAAAAGGAATGAACTTTAATAAATAATAGTTGCAAATATGAAAATATTATAAACAATAATAAAATTGTTATATATTATTAATTATAAATCTGTTATATTCTGTTTTTATAAATAATAAGTATATTTTATTATTTATCTACATACATGTATGTTTTGATTTTCCGCTTTTCAGACTTTAAACATAAATCTCTATATTACTTGAAATATAAATACAATTTACATTTTATCTTGCTAATTATACATCTTAATTTTGTAGTACACTGAAGCAATATGAAGTTTACAAAAAGTTTGACATCCCTGATACAAAAAATCGATAGGAAACATTAAGAACCGATAGGATTTGTAAAAAAAGTTATTATTTCCTATCGTAACCTATTGTTTCATTTTTTATATTTTGAAAGAAATATTATTGTTTCTTAGCGTTCTCTTTCATTTTCTGTTAAAATCGGATTCAATTGTTAAAATACGATAAAATTCGTATAGTAATATATTGCTTTTGATCGTTTTGTTGGAATTTGTTTAACAATAAATTTTTTTAACAATAGTATTTGCTTCAGGTGCGAATAAAACAATTTTACTCTTATTGTGATTTTAATGCAGTAAAGAAGATCTAATATACATCGATGTGTCAATTGTATTTTGATAAATTAATTTTCAAACACTAAAACCCTGCTTTGGCTCAAAGTTCTTGTACTTTTATGATGATTTATTCTTCGGAGCCTTATATCTCTATATTTTTATAAAATTATTTATATGAGGTAAAAATAACTTTAACATATAAGAACGTGTATTTCAAAGCCCGCTCTTTTATTTTTTAATTAGTTTCAGTCATTTAAAGCGATAATTAATTCTTTGTTTAGGACCAAATGTACGAATCATTATGTTAGATATGCCCAAAACTACGAGAACTTTCTAATAAAAAACAGAACTGTCGTAATACAATCAGCAGCCCAAATTTATGTTTAAAAATACGATTTTTTCACTATTTTGACACTGTACGAACTGTCATTATCATAAACGCGGTCTCGATCGCTCGGAATCGACCACCAATTATACATACGTGGAAGAGCGGCTACAATATACACGATACATATCGACTCCAAACGCACTTCTCGGCTTTTCTCATAAAGGATTATCTCAAAAGATGCTGAACATGTTAAGAAGCACATATTAAGAAAAGGAGCAGTTGTGATTATTATACACTGTAATAACGTCATAGACGCGATAATATTTCTTTTAGAGAATATCTTATAAATTGAACGTATATATAAACATTCTGATTCTGAATATTATATGCTAGAAGATTGCTTTACAAGATTACTTCAGTTTCTTAATGAAAGAGACGTGTGTAGGAATCGTTAGAAAAAGAAATTTCTGTAAAATATTTTGTTTATCACTTGCACAAAAATAATTTATTGTTGGCCGTTGAAAATAAAAATAGCACGTAGTCAATAGTCAGAATTGTTCTTTGGAGAATAATTACAAATAACATGCGCAGAATTACAATAGACATGTAGTCTCTCACAATCGATCAATTTTATTATCGATATCAGTCTGTCTATATTCGCGGCCTGAGTTCGACTTTCTGCTCTCGGTATTCGCATACCAGCGCTTTCCCCCACTCGATATCCTTGTTTTCGCGTTCCTTCGTTATTTTCCTATCTTATATATATATTTTCGACTTCCAAATAACGGAATTATAACGGACTTATATTTTTAGTAGCCTGCACGTGTGTTACATAGTTATATACATTCTCTCGTTATGATCGTCAAAGATCTATTAACAATAGCTTTATTGCTGATCGCAGGCCAAAGTGTTCTTCTTCAAGCTAATGGAGTAGTGAATAATACAGTAGTGAAAGAATACAAAGAAAATATATATCGGCTACCCAAATATGTCACGCCTATTCATTACGATATAAAATTAATACCACATATCACGTGGAAGGTAACTTTACTTTCGATGGCGAAGAAAGCATCAATATTATGCAAACCGACAAACACGATCGCATTGCACACGTACAACTGAAAATAGATGAAGCGTTGACAGCACTGACTCGCAAAGAAAACGATGTAAATGCTGTACCGAATTATGTTCCTAAAAAGTACGAATATAATCATAATACGCAAATTTTGATTGTACGATTCGAGGAGCGATTGGATCCTGGAATTTATCAGCTATATCTCAAATTCACGGGTGTGATAAGTGTTCATCGTGGATTCTATCGAATCTTCTATACTGATAATAAAGGTCATAAAGTGTAAGTAATCAATAATAAAAGATTTACACATGTATAAATAAAATCAATAAGAGCTATAACATTAATGTAATAATTTATAAAATATAAATATATAAAACATGTCTGTATAAAATAAATGTAATATTATTATAATTATATACTATTAATATATTATAAAAGTAGCAAATATATATTATATAAAAAAGTTAATAGAAAAGCATAATTATCGTGTTTTAAACTGTCGTAATTGCTCTTAAAAAATTAATTGAATTATATAGCGATCTGCTCCCACACTCTCTCCGATTATTTATACGTTGAAGCAAGCTACAATGAATTTACAGATTGTTGGCAGCAACGCATTTCAACCCAGTCTACGCACAAAAGGCGTTTCCATACTGGGACGAGCCTGCTATAAAAGCGACCTTCAAATTTTCCACAAAACATTCTACACAGCGTTGTCTGGGGCATAATCGTCTATGTGTAAGTACATAAACATATTTTTTCTCTCAGAGAAAATAATTATCCTATTATATAAAGGATTCTATTATAAAGGATTATAGATAATCCTTTAAAAAACCACAGATATAATTAAATGATTATATATGTATATTATCAAATCAAGGAGATATATTTTTATGTATAACTTATAAAGATTATTTAAACTGTGCTTATATTAAAACTAGAATAAAAAGAATTTTGTTATACTTTTCAAACAATTGAAGACTTATAGTTATTAAAATAAAATAAATGCCTCAATTATTTGTTTGACAGTTAGAACATTTTCTATTTGAAAAAAGGTATTTGACGCGTTAATTGTTGCCGTTTTTCCGCGATGCCAATTGGTTCCTTCAATGCGTTCAGTTCATTTCTTGAGCAGCCGTCACTTGTGTTAATTTGCGATTATTTGCAAATTGACAGTTCGCATGAAAAGAAGTCTAAAAATTATTTAAGATTTAATTTGTTTAAAATTATTTTTGTATTTGAGATTTACTAAAAATTTAATTTATTTAAGAAGATTTATCTAAAAATCAGTTGCAGGAAGTCTCGCAATATATGTGTGATAAAAAAATTAAAACAATATTAATGGCGCGCGCTTGTGTTGCTAGTTTGATAAAAAAGGAGAAAAAGCAGAGGAAAATTATTTGTTTGACAGTTAGAACATTTTTAATAAAAAAGGAGAAAAAGTAAAGGAAAATAGAGATTATTTCTTTATGTAGATCATTTCAATGTTACAAATATGAGCATTGTATAATGTCTGCTGAAAATTATACTCATGTATATCGCAATGTAATAATATATCCATAAAAGCTTTAATTATTTGTTATGTTGAGATTTATTGCAGTAAATCAATTATTTGTTACTTCAATATTACAAATAAAATACATTGTAGTAATTTTAAAATTTAGCAGCGCCAAGTTTTTTTAATTAAAATTTTTTCTCTTTTTTTTATTTTGTATTAATTTTAATTTTTGGATGTTTTTAATTTTCAATTTTTTACAAATTTTTATTTATTTGGCGCAACTTTTTGATATCATTTTTTTTTTTTAATTTTATATTAATTTTCTAACATAAGTTTTATGTTTGTTTTTAGAACATTTTTACACATGACACGTAAACTTGGCGCCTTTTTTTATTTTTTTTTAAATATAAGTTTTTAATGGATATCACTTCTTTTTGTAGTATAAAGAAATAACAGGATGGCAGTGTGACAAGATAGGTTATTATAAAAGAAAATCAAATATGTGTAATCTCACACACACACACACACATTGAAAGATTTAACAAAACTATAATACATCTATATATGATATGCGATATCACATATATGTGATTTTTTAATGTAATTTACATGCACATCAACCTCTTTAATATTTCAACTTCATTCCTGATATTAGTATATTATTAAATTCATTTTGATTTATACTACTCATCTGTATAATTTTGACGGCAAATCGTTTAGAACCATCCTTTGTAAATAACAGTCTCACTTCACCACAGACACTAGTTCCTATATAATTTACGACCAAGTGCATACATCTGTTTTAGTTTCAATGTTAATTCACAGATATTGTCTGATATGATACTTATGAATACATAAACTGTAAAAATGATAAAAGTTTGTAATTTGTTATATCTGTACGTATGAATTTTTTTTAAAATAGGATCTGTTATAAAATGCAGTTATTTGTAAAGTGTTTCAGAGTTACAGCTATTTTAGAATTAATAACAAAAATAAATAATAAAAAAATTATATTAATAATTATATTAATAATATAATATATTATTAAAAATAACTGTGAGACGACCCAACTGGCTTAAATTGATTCTTATTATTATTAGTTTGATGTCATATACAAGAAAAGACAACGTTTCGACCTTAGGTTTAGGTCCTTATCAAGTCTAAAATTAAAATTAAAAAATACAATAGATGTACATACAAGAATTTCGATTTTTAAGAAAGCAAAGCGCAAACCAAGATTGTAATAACAAATTAAGACGTAACTTACAAAATCTTTAGTACAATATAAAATTAAGTTTTTTCATTTTACATATTTCAATATAAATACTGTGTCACGTAAAACGTTCGGTATGGATGGTAAAGACGAACTAAGTTAAACCGCTTTGATTATTCTATCATAGATCGGATTCAAATTCTCTGCGTCTTTCTGTAGGTTGATCGTGTTGTTAAATTTTTTTATAAAAAAATATTTCAGCAATCTCTCTTTTCCTAGTGTTTGTTTCTCGATGTAAAATATTTAAGTTTGTCCATTTAAAGTCATGCGAAAAATCATTTCTATGTTTGCTTATAACATTTTGGTTGCTGACATGCATTTTTATATTATTCATGTGTTCTTTAATCCGAGTATTAAGGTGTCTTTTAGTTTGTCCAATGTATGTGGCGTCACAGTCGTTGCAGTCAACTTTATAAACTATTTCGGTCATATCGGCTTTAGTTAATTTGTCTTTTCGGGGTTTAATAACAGTATCTAGTTTTTTTGGAATCGTATAAATAACACTTAAGCTTGTTTTCTTAATAGATCTCTCAATAGTCTCACTTAGGTTCTTAACATACGGCATTAAAATACAAGACGAAATATCAAATACATTATTTTTGTCAACTACGTTATGAGAATTTCCTAAAAAACATGTTCTTTTATACACATATCGCTCAATGACCGTCCTAGGGAAACAATTATTCAACAAGATTTTTTTAACCATCTGTAAGTTCTCATTATGAAATCGTTTATCCGATAAACAAAATAGCGTGGTCAACCAAGTTATTAATGGTGTTAACTTTGTATTTAAACGATGGTTAGAATGTAGTTTTTAAATATCTACCAGAGAAGGTGGGTTTCTGGACCAATTAAGTCATAGTTTACCATTGTTTCTAAAAACCAATGTATCCAGAAAGTTGATCTTGTTATTTATCTCTGTTCATACGTAATTGCAATTTATCACCTAAGCTTAAAATATTTAGAATGTTCTCTTGGGAATAATTTTTTTACTCAAATTTACTATCCATTTCGATCTGTCCATTTTACTAAAGGGGTTAGGTGAAACATTATTATTTCGTATAAATTATTGAACTTTTTAATCGCGTTATCCTTTTTTGTTTTATTAAAAATAAATAATTTATGATGATTAAGTGCAAAAAATCTGTCAATTAAAGTACGTGAAGTAAGTCAGACATCCTTTTTTCGATGTTATAAAGTTTGGAATGTAAGAACTTACGTTATATTTAAATCTTTAATTTCTAAGTTCAACATCTATTCGAGTTTGTCTAGAAAAATAATCAAAATTTTGGTTTACGCTATTACTGTAGAAAAGATGTTCAATTTCAATTTCTTGATGTGTGGTGGAAGTAATCCCATCTTCTGTATCGAAGCAGGAA